ACTGCATGTCAGGCAGTCTTCTTATGTGGCTGAGCTTCCTTGGGTCTTCACAGTCCTCTGAAATAGCAACTATTTTTACCGCCATTTTACAGATTAGTGATCTGAGGCACAAAAAAAACCAAACCAAACCAAACCAAAACAAAAAACCTGTTTAAACTACATGCATGAGGATGCAGAGCTGGCCAGAGTCGGCCAGAGCCGGCCAGGTGCAGGAGTGAGAGCCAACCAGGCAGTGTGTCCCTACAGCTGTGCTCACTGCCGGCCTACTGGCTGGTTCACAGGAGCACTAGTCAGCCTAGGCTCTATGAAATTAGAAGCCTGCGAGCTTCCTAAGAGAAACACAGAATGAATCAACACCTAGAATAATTGCACTGCAGCTCAGCCACCATTTTTAGTCAGAATGGGCTTTGGGAACTTGTCTATGGAGAAGGGAAGTGACACAAGGATCCAAAGACTCCAACCCTCATTGCGGAGCTAGCTTGGGTACAGAGCCCTCCTTCAGGGCTCTGCTCACTGCTAATCTCTTTTGCCTAGCGTGGGGGGGCTCTTCAGGCTGAGTCGTTAGAAGGCTTGGGGTGTCTGTGAGCATCACCCAACGCGTTTTCTGCAGGAACTACTGTATCTAATGTGATCCTCATAAAAGAACCCGTGGCCACTGGGTTCTGGAGTCATGATTATGATCTTCCTCTGAATATACATAGTGGCTCAAACCCCATGGAACTTTCTACCCCAAACTGCAGATACCTCTGTGATTATTCTGTGATTATGGAGTTCTTTCTAAAACTTTTTATTTCGTAAGTAATAGAATAGTAGTATATATTGTAATCCAGGCAAACTTAGCCCTGCCCCTTGGGATCCTGGCACAGTGTGTCACGCCTCTCTGCACAAGGTAGGCAGTGCCCTGGTCCTTTAGGAGGCAAGCTCTGCTCAATTCTACTGTTCTCTCTGAGGAGGCAGCTTTACCTGCCTCCCTCTCTCTGTCTCTCCGTTTCTGTCTATCTCTTTCTCTCTTCCTTTCCCTTATTCCCTTACCTTCCACCAATAAACTTTCCACAGAAGTTTTGTCTATAGGTCATCCACCAGTTGTCCCTCACCAGCCTTGTCCCATGTTTGCAGAATATTCCTAACAGTATATGTGTGGCAGGCAGAGGACAGCTTGCAGGACTCCGTTCTCAACGTCCAGGGATGCAATTCCAAATGCACCATTGTGCCAAACACACACACATACACGCACACATGCACGTGTGCGCACACACACACTTAAAAGCAAAAGACACAGGAAAACTCATAAACTATGCAATATCCATGCAAAATTATGGCATATGTTATCTTTTTTCAAATTCAAAGGGAGGTTTCATTTCTTTCTTAAAGTTCCAACGAGAAAAGATGAGAAAGCTCCAACGGTGCCTTCTTGTGTGTCTGTAGTAGACACAGCCATTTGTTTTGAGAACTGTTTCCCTTTCTACAGCCTTTGGCTGTTATTAGGGGAAATCTTGCTTTTCTGGCAGCCCCCACCATCCACACGCTTCACCTGCAGCTCTAGAGAGCTGGGGAACAGTGTTCACGAGCAAATAATGTTATATATAAAGGCTGAAGAGAAGGAAATTATTTGTGCCTGAGGCTATAAACTCATTTCAATAGTTTTGTTTTGTTTGTTTTTTATATAACTTCTTATTGATGCTTTGGGAATTTCACATCCTGCACCCCTTGGGATACTACTCATTCCCCAGTCCCTCCATACCCGCCCTTCACTCTTACAGCACCCACCCCCAGAAAATACAAAACAAACAAACAAACAAACAAAACCCCACTTCGTCCCTGCTTTCTCCACCTCTCCACACACCTACTTGTCATAGTGGCCTTGGGAGCTGCTGTGTGTCACACAGTGTATCCCTCTGTCCAAACAGCTTTATGTGTTCATTGCAATCAGCTGTTGGTCTGGTTCACGGCTCTGACCTCAGGCACACCATCACCACTGGACCCTCACTGAAACTCCTCTCAGAGATCCTGCTGTTGTCCCCAGTCACGGAGACCCTGTGGCTACGGTTCCACAGGACCAGTCCCTTCATGCGCTCCAGCAGGTCACAGATGGGGTACATGTTGGGGTGGGCCAGCTCAAAGTCCTGGATATGGGCCTGGGTGGCTGCAGAGTTGCTCAGCCCAGGCCTCCACTGGGACCACCCACTTCAGGTGAGGGGCGGAGCCAGCACTCCTGTGCCCGAGGCAACAAGGCCAGTGGGAAGGCAGGAGCAGGGCCAGCTCAGCATGGCCCTCTGACTTCAACGTGGCCCCCAGTGGCAACAAGCCACGGACATCAACACTGACCTCAGCTATAGGAGGACTACAGACCAGGCATGGCTCTCAGCAGCAGGCTGGGTCTGGACATCACCATGGCCCTGGGTGGCAGTGCTGGCCACTCAGATTAGTATGTCCGCAGTGGCAGCCTGACCCTGGGACACCAACATAGCCTCAGGTGGCAGCCCAGACCCTGGGTATCCTCACAGCCTTCCATGGTAACAGGACCCTGGCTATGGAAGGATCACAGACCCAGGCATGGCGCTTGGCAGAAGTCTGGGCCTGGGCGTCACCATGGCCCCAGGTGGCAGTGCAGAGCACCCACAGGGCGCCTGTGGACATGTGCGTGTCCTTCCACCCGCCAGGGTGAGCTGCGCCAGGAGGGCCTGTGGGTGTCTTCAGCGAGTCTGGGCTGGGTAGCATTGGGAGGGTCTCTGGGTAATTTTAGATGGTCAGAAAGGAGGTAGCTAAATTGTTCTCCATTAATTGAGGCTAAGAGCATGCAAAGAACAATGGCTTGCTTCATTGTGAAAAGCTCCTAAGACCAGGCCAGGGGGGGAGGGGGAGACTTGGGGGGGGGTGGAGGGGACACTAAGTGGCAGGGGGGAAAACGGAAGTTCCTGGTTATTAATGAGAGCCTTGAGCAACCACGATGACACAGGCAGATTCACGGCTTCCCTGATGGTCACTTCCGGCAACTTGGGAATCCTCATCTTGACTACTCTTTATTACATGAGGTAAACAGAGTCAACACAACATGGTGCGCACGGCCCTCCCCTGGGCGGGGCTGCCCACACACTCCTTCCTCAGACAGAAAGAGAGCAAAGGTAACGGAATGCGAAACTGGAAGACAACAGGAAACCAGAAAGCCCCTGTCTCAGGTTGACAACCCAAGAAAAACTCTTACCTGTTATTTCTCATGTACTGGGAAGAAAAACGTCTAGACTATCTGTGGATGTATTATATGCAACAAAATAGAATATACACCCTACTTACTTATTGTATTGGGATGCTAAAAATGGTAAATGACTCTATTAATTTTGTCTCCCCAGGGTAGTATCAGTATGTGAGTATTTTTGTATGTGCATATAGTTATGTTGCATGCATGTGTGTAAACGTGTGTGGGTGCTGCCCTGTGTGTACATGTCGAGAGGCCTGAGAACAATGTCAGGTGATCTCCCTCTATTGCTGTCCACCTTATTTCTTCAAAGTCCCTCACTGGACCTGGAGCTCACTCACGCTTTGGGCTAGACTGCCCGGCCAGTGAGTCCCTGGGATCAACCTCTCTGTGTCCCACCTGCTACTCTGCCTGGCTTTCCCATGGGTTCTGGGGATCCAAACTCAGTTTCTCACATTTGTGAGGCAGGCATGCAATTTTACCCATGCAGCCCTACCCCCACGCCTCAATATGGGGCTTCAACAATTTCTAGAAAGTGAAATAAGTATTATCTATAAAATATCTACTATAATCTTAAAAACTTGAAAAGTCAAGAAAAGGAGAGGCTTCCAGAATAAAATGGAATTCTCTCTGTATATACATTATTTCAATTTAAGCTATATGTCCTCGAGAATGCCATGTCATGTTTTGGAGAAATGTGAAACTCGGGGGGATGTGGTCATATGATGTGCTCAAAGCCATCATTCATAACATCTACCAAGCTATTTCCAGTTCAATGAATATCCTAAAATCACAGAAATTTAGAAATATGCTGTTTCCATAGCAGCAGATAAAGAATGAAACTCAAAAGATTTTTTTATTAGTTTTTTTTTAACAAGGTTTGTAGAATTTATCTTCCTTGTTAGCAGTGATTTTTGCTCCTTAAAGAAAAATCTCATTTTATTCATCTCTAAATGTACTTAGTCATATGAACTTTGGAAATGGATAATTGTGACATTACTATAAAACTGTACATTCTTATGGTAATGAGGAATAATTCATATTTGATGTTTAATGCCAAAAGGAGGCCAAACTATGATTCAGATAGTGCTCCAACTACATGTACTGTCAGTTTAACATAAAAATAAACTATAACTGCACATAAAGTTTTTAAATAATCCATCAGTAACCAAAAACACAGTGTAACACTTAAAGTGCTTTTCATTTATTAGGACTCAGATGCTGAGAATATGGCCTGTAAGTGTAAATGGGACGGATACAGAACGCATGTTTCTATGTGGCTAGTGTGGTGGCACGGGAAAGGGCAGATGAGAGATTAGAACTGTAAGTCTCTGTTAACACCCTCAGAGAATTGGGAATACGCCGTTTTTCTGTTGATGGGGTGTCCTTCTGTGTATACATGTTTCTCTTATTGGTTGATGAATGAAACCCTGATTGGCCAGGCAGGAGGCATAGGGCGGGGCTAGGAGACCAGGAGAAGGCTGGGGAGAGGAAGCAGAGGGAGGCTGCCTAGAGACACCATGCTGCCCAAGGAGTAACATACCTGGTTACGGGCAAGACGCAGCCTCATGGCAATGCATAGACTAATAGAAATGGGTTCATAATTAAGACAGAGTTAGCCAATAAGAATCCCTAGCCATCAGCCAAGTAGTTTTATAATTAATATAGTGTCTGTGTGTTTATTTGGGACAAAGCTAGCTATGGGACCAGGCTGGACAGAAACCTCCATCTTCATTCTGTTACAATTTGTATCAATTACTCTAATTTATGAACATCTTAATCACCAAAATAGGGGTAAATGGCCCACCTGTAACCGACATACAGCCCAACGGAGCGATCAAAGTGATGGGAGCGACTCCATAGGCTGCGAAATTGCCCGTCTCTCCTATGGCCATCAGCAGGGTTCCACTCCACCAAAGCACACTCTTAAAGTATGGCTTTGGGAGCTCTTTCTGGGCTAAATGAAGATGAGAGTATTTCTGGAAGCAAATCAGAAAGTAAATAGGAAACATTTCCACCAGATTAAAACTTGCTGCCACATTTTATGTTATTTTGGGGGCACAGGTTCTCACTGTGTAGCCCTGGCTGGCCTGGCACTCACTGTGTAGGCCAGGCTGGCCTCAAACTCTCCGTGGTCCCCCTGCCTGTGCCTCCTGAGTGCTAGGAAGAAAGGCGTGCCTACCAAGTCCCACTTGCTTTGAAGGTTTTCATGTCACTTTACATCAGAGCTTTCTAATTCATTTGCAGACTATTACGGCTTTCTGTTAGTCCCAAGCAAAGCATGTTTCTATACCATTCTATAGTCTAGGGGGTCTTTTTTGTGTAAGTACATTGTTTTTTCCCTCCTCCCAACTCTGTAAAATGTGTACCCTCCTTACTATCTGAAGCTAAGTAAGTGTGGGGGTAAGGAGCTTTTTGAAACACTATGCCAAGGCAGCTTATTTTTAGAATTTAAAGTAGTTCTGGATCCCAAAAGAAACATGAACAGGATAAAGGCAGTATTAGAGAGTGTTTTTAGAAGGGATTCAGATGTATCTGCTGAAGTATCCACCACAATTGATATGGCAGGGCGGAATGCGAGTTGCCGGGAACTGTGGCAGGCAGACTCATTTCATAGCTCGTCCGAATATTTCTTTGCATTTAAAACGTAAGTGCAATGTACTATAGGTACAGTTCGGGGGCAGCATACTTCGTGAGCCTGTGCAAGGCCCTGGGTTTCATCCCTAGCACTGCAAAAAGGGAGCAAACCTATGAATCCCGAGGACTCATTATGTACGTTTTCCCGAGGTTTTAGGGTCTAGATGGTCTAAAAATGTAATTACAAGTCTAGAAGAAAACATGGAACATTAAGACCGAAACACCTCACTTGTGAATTGGCCACAGAGTAATGTGGAGGTCAGAGCACAATGTGGGAGGCTGGTTCATCCCTTCTGCCACGTTGAAGTTGGGTTATTCTTAGAGGCAAAAGCCATTTACTGTCCCAAAGCTCTTTCTTTAATAAATGCTACTGGGTCACAAAGGCCCCACAATGGTTCAAGTGTTAAAGGCCTGCTTGCAGCCTAGGGGGTGGAGATCCTTAAAGAGGTCGGACCTACTTGAAGGAAGTTAGGTACTGGGGCATGTCCTTGATGGGGTTACTGTAACCTTTCCTGTTGTGTGGCCCCCTCCCCCGCCCTGGTTCCTGGTCACAGTAGGTCCGTTCTACCATGTGTTCAGGCCATGACGTAGCAACTGCCACAGACCAAGAAGAACAGGGCAAAGTGGACATGAGCCAAAACCAATCTTTTCCTTGACCAGGAGATTTTTCTCAAGTGCACTGTCACAGTGAGAGATCTCAGTAAAATAAAGCATGATTTATTTCGGTATTTTTCAGGAATAAGTACATTTCTTAGAAATTACCAACAATTACATTACATAAAATTATATAAGATTCAAGGAGATATTTTGATATCCAGACCTATTTTAATTCAGTAGCTTTAGAAACTAGATTGGTTTGATTCTGTTTCAAAATGACTTACTAAATGATCTAAAATTTAGATGGAATTCATGGCTTGGTTTAAGATTCAGATTTCATTCAGTTTTTGGTTTAGTAACAGGAGTTCTGTCAGGTTCTAACTCAGCTGAAGTTCTTACTGTATATCTGACATCCTTCAAGACCTTTAGTCTACACAGTTAGATGGCAGAATATAATTTTTTGTCCTTCTCTTTGTAGTGGGTGAGAGAGTTGCAGAGGCAGAAGTGCCCTACCCTGACAGGCACACAGCCTTCCCAGATCAAGCTACAGCTAAAATAGCGCTTTCCTTACCTGGATATTTAGGGAAATGCTGATGACCAGGTTTCCTAAAATAGCCAGCAAAACCCCAAAAAGGTGAACCTGCAAAAGGAAATATTTTCTTTAAATGGCTTTAGAATTAATACTTGTAAGATATTTTGTGGTGGGGGATGGGGGGGTAGGGGGCAGTAAAATGTTGTATTAACTGATTTACTCATCTGCCCAGTTTTGCTTCACTTATATTTTCCAAACCTACCCTGGAAATAACATTTGATTAAAGTGAGAAGAAAGTAACCAAATACTGGTTTTTGGAAATAACTTGGTCAGGGTCAATGGCATGGCTCAGTGGGTAAGAAGAGCATGTGCCGCACATCTCAACCATCCAGGTTTGATCCAGAGAACCCACGGCGAAAGAGAGCCCCGACTCTTGCAAGTTTGTCCTCTGACCTCCACACACGTGCTGCCTATGCATGCACACACTTACACACACTACATATACCACACACACACACACACACGCACACACGCACACACTAAAGAATAAAATGTGGTAGCTCATGCCTGTAATCAGAGCACTAAGTAGGGAAGAGCGGTCAGCTACTGAGAGACACTGTAGATGGTGACCAGAGGAGCGGCGGGAAATGTAGTCTGTCTAGTGGGACACTGCAGAGGTAAAGAGTTCCTGCAAACATCTCTCCTTTTTACTGAGGCTAGGAAAGTGAACTAACTTGTCAAAAATCACCCAATCAGAGAATAGCAGATCTGTGTCTCCTGTTGTCCTTTGACTTTGCGTCCCGTGATCTTTTTTTGTACTACAGTTCTTCTGGGTGTGTTAAGAGAAAACAAAATGAACAGAAGGGGTAAGTCAGAGGCACCTCCATGGGAAGTAAGACCCTGATGGCTGTTTATGAGGCAGACAAATACCTAAAACCCTAGTAAAGGAGTCAGTCATTTCTTTTCCAAGATAGGATCTCACTATGTAGCTCATGCTAGCCTTAGCACCATCATGTCTATGCCTCCCACCTCCTTAGTGCTCATGTGTGCCATTAGGCTCTACAAGGAGAAGGCAAATTTTCTGAGGTAGAAGAACCAGGTCTTATATTTCCACTGAGTATCCTAAATAATCAACTCCTCAAAGTTGGGGGACCAGTAACACTTAAAAAGAATATAACAGTTTAAATAAGAACCGTAAAGGTTAAAAAAGAGGTTCTTTGGGGCTGGAGAGATGGCTCAGTGGTTAAGAGTCCTGGCTGTTCTTCCAGAGGACCTGGGTTCAATTCCCAGTACTCACATGGCAGCTTGCAGCTGTCTGATACCTTTACACCAGTACACATCAAATAGTTAAATGAATTATTAAAAAGTTCTTCCTATTGCTCAAATATTTATCACAAATAGATTATGAGATATTTGATAACTTTAAAAAATTCTTTGTGAGCTACTGAGATGGCTCCATGGGTACAGTAATAGGTGTGTAACATGTAACATGAGGACTTGAGTTCTGCCCCCCAGCACCCACATGAAATTTAGACTAGTGGGTCCTGGAACTCACTGGCCAGCAAGTACAGTCAATGCAGGTAAATTCAGTAAGAGACTCTCTCACAAAAATAAGGGGGAGGGTCAGGGGGAGGGTTCCATACATTTAAGTGCTAATGATTCATACATGATCACGTGAGTTCACTTTCTGGAAGCACATTAAAAAAAAACAAACAGATTTTGTGGTTTGTGTCTGTGCTTCCAGATGTGACGTGGAGGCAGGAGAATTGGCCAGAAGCTCATAGGCCAGTGAGTCTGCAAGGCAGAATCAAAAAGAGGGGGGACCCTGCCGCAGTAAGGTAAAAGGTAAGAATAAACTCCCCAAAGTTGTCCTTTGTCTTCCAAACATGCACAGAGGTACTTGCATTCCTGCACACACACACACACACACACACACAACACACACACACATATATATACACACAATACACAACACACACATCACAACACACACCACACACACACACACACATCATAACACACACACACACACACGTCATAAACACAGACACCATACACACCACAATACATACACACATACACCACACACACACATACACCACACACACACATACACCACACACACACACACACACACAGAGCCATTGAGGAAGACACAAACATGTAAACATTCTTATACTACATACACACTCACACGCATACACAGAATGTACTTGATACTCTCATCCAGGCACAAATGCGTAAAATTTGTAAGTATAAACTAGCAATGGTACAGAGAGCACCTCTTACTCTACAGAATGTAATGTCCAGCTAGCTTAAAATTCCAAAGAGCTACTTGAATTTCAAGGGAACATCACAAGCACAAGACCTCCTTTTCAGATGCAAAGTGTCTTTGAAGTTTTAGTGTTCTATTACCCAAGCCAAAGTAAAAAATTTGTGTTTAAAAAATGAAACAGGAAAGTTGAAAACTCAGTTTACAGTTGATACATGATACGGTCTCTAATCAGTTAAGATTTTGTTCCTAATGGAGGCACTTGGCAGTAGTTTTGCTCACTGTGGCTCATGGGGAATGCTTGTATCACAAGACAATGTACTATTTCCATGCTTTTTTTTTTTTATTATTTTTAACTTACAATCAAATGCATTTGGCAATAATTAGGAAAACAAAGAATCAAAAGAAAGTTGGCATTGAACATATAATTATGAAAATCTTCCATAGCTATAAAAGTAAATTGCTGAAGAGAAATAACCAACTCCAAAATCCTTTAAATCACTTAACGAACCATTCAAAAGACATTGGGCTGGGAGTTTTGAAATTGGTGACCGGATTTGGCAAGAGTTTCTTGGATGTGACACCAAAATATTATACAATACAATACAGAATATACACAAGTTGGACTTCATCAAGATAGAGACTTTTTGTTGTTTTTTGTGCTGCCGGTGAGCATCCCTGTTTTCATTCATCTGCTGGGCAAACACTGCTTTAGAGCTATATGCCCAGCCCTCAAATCAAAACCTCCTGTTCCTCAGTAAGTCTATCAACACACCACAGAGGCAAACAACAGAAGTGGAGGAATAAACCCTTATCAGGGTAGGGCTTGATACACAGGATAGTGCATTAAAACTCCTACAATTCAACAATAAGGCAATAAACGCTCAAGATTGGAGCAGGGTTCCAAAGAAGACTACAAACTAGAACCACAAATTCTATACTGATGCACAACAAGCAAGATGGCTACAAATAAAAATGAGACAATAACATTTGTTAGCAAGGACGAGATAAATGAGAACCTTTACATTCTACGGGTAGGAAGGCCAAATGACACGCTTTGACAACTCTTCAAAAACACCGAGTTTCCATTTGTTACCGTAAGAGAAGTGTAGAAACATGCTTACTCAAAAACTTGTAGAAATGCCCATTGTAGCATGATTCACAACTGGCAGGAGTAGAAATGACTCAGATTTTGCTTACTGATAAGTGAGTGAACAAAATGTGCTGCGACCATGCAATGAGATATTATACAACCATGAAAAAGATGCTACTGAAACACTGTAGAGTGGATGAATTTTCAAAACCGTGTTCTACATGGGAAGGATCCAGTTTGAATAATAATGGGAGGGGTTTTTTTTGTAAGGTGATAGTGTAATTTATAAAATGGTGGGAGCCAGTGAAAGATGCTATGGGACAGAGTTCACGTGAAGGGTTTATTATTATTATTATTATTATTATTATTATTATTATTATTATTATTGGAAAGGAAATGGGATGGGAAAGGGGAGATGGGAGGAGGAGACTGGCCTCTGGGGACAGGAGCAGCAGAAGAGAAAAGAGAGGCAGAGGGGCAGGAGACAAGGAGAGAGAGGAAGAGAGGGAGAGAGGGAGGGAGAGAGAGGAAGAGAGGGAGGGAGAGAGAGAGGGAGAGAGGGAGAAAGGGAAGGAGGGAGAGAGGGAGAGAAGAGGTGGGCAGGGTCCTTTTAAAAGGGAAAAGTAATGAATGCACAGGTGGTGCTCTTCGTGGCTGAAGCTGAGGGCGTATCCTGTCAGAACCCCAAGGGCAGGCCAGTAACAGAATTTCCTGAAGGTGACTATATGATGGCTATACGACTTGGCAAATAAGCTAAAACATCCATGGATTGATTGTCCACTTGATATTACCAAATTATATGGTGTGTGAATTATAATTCAATACAAATTGTGATATAATTTATGTGTTCAAAGAAATAAAACATTACAGATGTTTCTACCCCCCCCCAAGATACTGAAGACTTCCATGAAAATTTTAAATGTTTATTTTTCCATCTAGTTATTTATTGGTGTGTACACACACACACACACACGTCATGCGGGACCCAGGGAATGAACGTAGGCCATCAGGCCTGGCAGCAAGCGCTCCTACCCACAGAGCCACTGCTCTGACATGAAGACATTTCTTTCTGAAGGCAAAATTAATGCTCTTCGTTCCTAGATTTAAGTTATATTTGTTTATTCAGTTTTTACGTTCTCATCTTCCTTTGGATTTTTGGTAGCCTTTCCTCTTCCTTCTCATCTAATAAGACATGCAGCTACAGCTATGCATTTCCATCGTGGTTTCAGCCTTCTGTATAGTTTTGCCCACTCACTGTCATCATTCCATTCCATTCTGTTTTTTTTCCTGATTATGAGGTTTATCTGAGTCTTACACTTTTAAGAAATGTGTTAAATTTTTCTTTCTTTCTTTTTTTTTTTTACTGAGTGGGCTGTTATTTATTGTGTTGTTACTAATTTCTGATTTATAGAGCTGTGGTTTGGAAATATGTCAGGCTATGAACTGGAATTTGCTTTATGAGACTTTTATGGTCTATATTTATTTATGGATCCCCCATATTTCCATTAATCTTGTGTTCAAGCCCTTACTATCAATTGCCAAGGAATTAATACTAAAAATCCACCACTAATATGGATTTATATGTCTATCTATGGATCCCCTATCTATTTCCATTAATCTTGTGTTCAAGCCCTTACTATCAGTTGCCAAGGGATTAATAATGAAAATCTACCACCAACATGGATTATCTTTTCCTTTAAAGTCTACTGAGTTTTGCTTCCTTGTTAGGTGTGCCTCAGGGTT